TTAATGCCCAATATATATATATATATATATATATATATATATATATATATATATATATATATATATATATATATATATATATATATATATATATATATATATATATATATATATATAATGTTTGTATGACTAGGAACCATTCCAAGATGTACCCAGTTACAAATGCAGTAGCATATTTGTTATGCTCTGCTGCTGTCTACCCCTAGGTATAGCTGGACTGGTGTATTCCTCTAATGTAAGTGGTTTTTTTTTTATTATTCTTTGACATTTGCATTATAAAACATCCTACTAATACAAAAGCCAATGTGCACTTCTTTCTCTCCCTTTGTAAGTGGTGCGCGGACCTTTGACCACAGGTGCTTTGACCATAGGGGGTTTGACCATAGGGGATTTGACCACAGCGGGGCTTTGACCATAGCGGTGCTTTGACCATAGGGGGTTTGATCATAGGGGGTTTGACCATAGGGGGTTTGACCACAGGTGTTTTCTCAGCAGAGGGTCTTTGATCACAGGTGGTCTATCAACTGGTGTTTGATCACAAGCGCTGTGTCTGAGGCTATGAGATCAGAATATTCAACTTAGTATGTAGTCCTTAAATAGCGTAGATTTGTTTAATAAAATTTAAAACATATTCAAAGATAACAAAACTTACTTAATTATGCAGCCGGAGAAGTAATGTTTTTTGCAACGTAACCGGTAATTATCCTCTTCACAGCAAATAAGCATAAATTAGGTCCTGCAATATTATAATTTTTTTCAATACTGACAGATCTTCCATTTCGAGAATATGAAAAACATTATTAGGCAGGCGAATAAATAATTGGGTCGGCCACAAATAATGAACATAGATTTCTTAAACCGGGTTTTGACAGAATTATCTTGGGCAATGAATCAACGTGTGCTTTCAGAGTGTCTTGTTGATTGTTTGCTTATATTTTGATATATTTTTTTTAAACTCGAAGCAAAGCGCAACTGGTACGCTAGTAATCAGATAATACGCATTTACCACTCTCAGATATGCCCTATCACATTATAACATATAGTTAGATACTAATATAAACTTTTACCTCGTAAATTTATAGCCGATCACTGCGCTACCCTTCTCCTCAGGCTGAAAACCTAAAAATCCAAAGAAAATACTCGGAGGCCAAGAAGGTTGCGGACAAAGCGAAAACCATGAACATCATTGGCGTCTCTCTCGGCATCCTGATCTGGATACTCAACGGTGTGAGCATCTACGTACGGGTCCAGAGCATACAGGACCGTAAACAATGATATCACTAAAGGCCGTGAGAAAGCGTTGCTTTCATATTGTCGACCAGTGGTCTTTGACCGAGTAACAATTGTTGTATGTCTGTTGTATATAAATCATTATATATATACATACACACACACACACATATATATATATATATATATATATATATATATATATATATATATATATATATATATATATATATAAATATATATATATATATGTATATATATATATATATATATATATAAAGTTAATACATTTGGTAAGTTTTTCCTTAGCAGTGATATGAGCTTTTCCATACATGCATATATTATGTCAGCAACTATATTTTGCGCAGTTCTTATACATATGTCAATGTTTTATGGATGGATATACTCTTCTCCGGTGGCAAATAAAAAATATCTCTTTGTTTAAACAATAAGGGATTTGATTAGTAAAATTTAATTAAAAGAAAACACAACTCAAACATTAAACATGGCCCGTCTTTAATATTCTAGGAAACATCACTTAAAATTATAATACAAGTCAATAGACAAAAATTATCAAACTTACATTCAATGCGGAATTATTGAACTTGGCTATAAACATTAATTCATTGTTTTGATATAGAACAATATATAAAAGTGTGAGTAGCACACTTGTATGTACAAAACTCAGGATCCACACAGGTAAATATCATCTTCCCAGGTTCTACCTTCACTACTTGCACTGATATGTAATCTCAGAATCACACATTAAATATCACTAATTCACACGGTTTAAATCCTTTCATGAATACTGAGTAGTACTCACAACGATCTAGTTCAACACACAAGCGGCACGAAGATTTCCAGCCACGTATACAAAACATTGGGACACTTGTACAATATTCTTGCCACTGGAACAAGACATACGGCCATAAGTACACACATTCGGCCACAAGAACAAAGCTTCTGGCCACATGAGCAAGACGTTTGGTCACTGGTACAAGTATTGGAGTCCTGGGGACTTGGTTAATAAACGCGGCTAAAAGCCCTTAAATTACCTGGTGACACCACGGGTAACCACCGGTGTGAGACCAGGATGCCATTTTGTGATTTAGGGGTGGGGGAACATTAACCACCGATTTAGTTATGATAAACACCAACATAAATGTAACTGCTTAAAAAATCAAGAAAAATATGACAACCAAAACAACTCAGCCAATACAGGCCGACTACAATCAACACTGTAACAAACAATATCACTAGAACATGTCGACTTATTATTTAATACATAAATACAACTAAGTTTTTCTTTAAGGCTAAATGACAACTGTCGTAGTTAGTCCTATCATGAGTGGTCCACATTAATGAGCAACTAAGTTACTATTTCATTTTAGGATAAACATCAGAATAGGCCTACCAGCAAACAGTATATATATATATATATATATATATATATATATATATATATATATATATATATATATATATATATATATGTAGTTTAAGACGGAAATCATGCATCTGTCATAATAAATTGTTCAATCCTGACAGTTATTTCGTTAGATATTTTTAATCGGTATGTTAGAATTGTCAAGACCTTAGACGTTAATGTTCCGTGTGTTATGAAAGTATGTCGTTTTTTTTTTTGGAACTTTTATGTTTAGAATTGATTGTTTCACTTTCCGTTTTTCATACTCAATGTTTTTGTTCGATTTAAATTTCAAACGGATCAATCTTTTTTTAAATTAATTTTTACGGTTTAGCTTTTTTAGTATTTGATTGTAGACGGAGTGACCTTGCTGTAGAGAGCTAAATTAATAATCCAAAAGTCTCGAGTTCAAATCTAGGTTTAAGTCACTATGACTACTTGAGTTAACCCAGCTTTGATGAGTACCTAATTCATGTTAGGGAAAGTAAAGGCGGCTTGGTATAGTGCTGACCACACTATCCCTTAATACACCCGTGTCACAGAAATAGGTGAAATCAACTTCATTTGTCCTATAGATAATTAGATACGTGCTTATTTCTAGCTGTGTCAATTTTTTTTTATTTAGACACTGTTGGGATTATAAAAGATGGAGTATGAATTAGTTATATACACGAACTATGATTTAAAGTCTAGTTTGAAATTACGATTTGAACTTAGAGCAGACTTGCAGCTTATTTTCCGGCATAGGTTTAGGCATTGGTTATAGTTCAAGGTTTTTGTTTAAGATGGTATAAATTGATAATCAGCGCGATTGATAACATTATAATCGTTAGCTTGGTAATAAAGAAAAAGAAAGATTACAAGAAATAGAATGATACATCAGCATCACAGCAAGCTTAGACACACAAAAAGTACAGAATAAAATGTGTCCACAATTTGCCTGTGCACATCAAAACCGTTTTACATGTCATTGTACACATCAACTACAGTATAAGTAATTAACAGTTCATCCATTTTGAAAATTTACAAACAAAATTTCTTTTTATTGCAAATCAATCACTGTTTACCTGATAAAATCAACTGCAATGTACCTGTACACATCTGTTAAAATTTACCTGATAGATTCCAGTTTACCTGTAAACATCAGCCACCATTTACGTAATAAATTCTATCACAATATATGTGTACCTCCATATTAATCGCAGTTTACATTTAAACTTTAATTATATTTTACCTGTACACACCAATCATATTAACTTCTCCGCAAGAACCATAACCTAATCCTGCGCCTCAACCATAGTTTACATGACTGTATAAAACCAATCACAATTTACATGTACACATTAATTTCTGCAAATCAACAACAGTTTACACGTATAAAAATTATCATTAAATTTCTTTTTAAAAACCCACGTTTTCTGATTGAACTAAAAAGTAGAAAATAAATGCTATACATGACAATAATGCAAGCGATCACTCTACTATAAGCGATCGCAAACTGCGTGCGCATTATGACAAAAAATGAAAAACGTGGGGCGCCGAAGTAAAAGTTTTTTATCGGTCATTGTTAATATAAGATGTAAAAGTTATATTACTATTGATTAGATAATACTATTGAGTTTTATTAGGGAGCTTGTAGAGAGTCAACAGTGTTAGAAACTGTAAGAAAATCACGGCGCCCCACGTTTTTCATTTTTTGTCATAATGCGCACGCAGTTTGCAATCGCTTATAGTAGAGTGATCGCTTGCATTATTGTGATGTATAGCATTTATTTTCTACTTTTTAGTTCAATCAGAAAACGTGGGTTTTTAAAAAGAAATTTAATGATAATTATTTAACACTAAAAAAACCCGAACCTTGTTTTTATCAAATTACAATTACTAGGTTATGTCCCTTTTTTTGTACAAATCAATAGAAGTCTAAAATGATCAATAAAATTTTTCCATGGATCAATTTAGTAATAATAATAATTGAATATTGTATTGTCATCGGAAACAAAGCTTCCCTGAAAATTTCAGCGTGCTAGCTAACTGGGAAGTGCTCGAAATTTCGATCGCAAGATTTGATGGAAAGACAGACGCAAAAGCAAGTTAAAGAAAACGTGGGAACAAACCACAATTTACATGATGTACACATCAACTTCTCCACATTAACCATAGTTTACATGTACATATCTATCGTAGTTGTTTACGTTTGTGTGCCTGGTGATTTCGCTACGCATGAGCAAACAAAGATACTTGTAATGCTCTTCATTTCCCCAAGTTATGTAAATAGAAATGCAAGTAGTGCATTAAGTCGGTTAGCCCGAAGGACGATTTACCCACGAACCGGATTCAGTCGCCGTGTAGAGACATGCGCAGTCAAGTCCTACCCCAAGCAACACCGTGACAGTGTATTCGTGTACAAGCAATTTTTCAGGTAGGTTGTGGATTTGTTTCATTGGAGGTTTAGTGGTAATTTGTTTTATTGGATACCACGATACCCGCTTTATTTAATCATGTGAGCTGTTGGTAAAGTTTGTGACAAGTACAGTTGAATAGAAAATAAAGATAAAATATAAACAAAGATGAAAGGTTATCTTACACATTTCGGTGACAAAAATATTTGTTAAGAAAAACACGGGTAAGTGATTGAATTACCGTTAATGATTTTAAAAATGCAATGTTTAAATAGTTTCCTATTTTTGTGATATTGGACAAGCAATATAAATATAAAAGCGACCATGGCAAATCAAACTAACGCTAACATGACTGAGGCAGAGTTTCTTCCAGGCATCTCTTCGGGGGGGGGGGGCAGCCCTCCCGAAAAATTTTTACCGCCCCCCCCCCCCCCGAACGAAATGAAATTTATATAATTTATATAGAAAATATAAACTTTTAACAGTGTCCTCCCCCCCCCCGAAGAAAGTCTACCGCCCCCCCCCCCGAAAATTTCAAGTGCCCCCCCCCCCCCGGAGAAAAAAGTCTGGAAGAAACACTGGACTGAGCCAAAAAAAAAAAAAAAAAGAAATACGAGTAACAAATCAAACAGCTAGCTTTGAAAAGGATAAGATTGGAATAAGTGTTAAGGTAATGATGGTTCTCGATATAGATAGAAAACTACAATTAATGATGAAAAATACATCAACCCAGAATGTTTTCCGATAAGCCTAGCCTTTTATATTTACTTAACAAACAGGATCCTCCTTCCTAAGCTTGTCACATTGCATCCTGTTTGGTTAAGTTCTTGATTTAGAACAAGGATTCTCAAAAGTTTTATCATGGAACCCGTTAATATTTGATTTAATACATACATCCTTTAATAGTTTATATAGTTGTTTATTATTATTATTGATACTTTAAGGGGCCTATCATAATTATTATCATCATCACGATTATCCGCAGCATCATAATCCTGAACATTTTTATTGTTATTATAATTAATATTATTATTACTAGTAGTAGTATGGTAGTAGTGGTAGTTGTAGTAGTAGTAGTAGTAGTAGTAGTAGTAGTAGTAGTAGTAGTAGTAGTATAAGTAGTAGTAGTAGTAGTAATAGTAGTAGTACTATTATTATTACTATTACTACTAAAATATTACTATTATTAATATTATTAATATTACTATTATTATTATTATTATTATTATTATTACCTTTGCTAAGGGGTCGCAATCAAATTCGTTACGCTATAATTAATCTAGTGCCTTTGCCAAATAAATGATGGGTACCTAACCACATTATCCCTACATTATCCAAAAATATGAACTCTACTTCATCTGGACATTGAATCTCTAGTTCTAAAAAGGAAAACTTTACTATTTGCCAATTAAAACACCTGATATTAGTTCTATATTCTATTACCTGCAGAAAAGTTATCGATATTCTATTAACTTTTCTTTAGATCATGGACCTACACTAAAATTGTATTCTATAAACAATTCCTAGAACATGGCCCTACATGAACTTCTCTATCATATAATCATTTACTAGAATACGATCCAATATAAACTTCTCTATCCTATAATCATTTACTAGAACAAGGACCTACACAAAAACTTCTCTATTCTATACCAATTCCCTTAGACCATGGATCGAGGCGGTGATAAAACTCTCTTGTTGAGTGCTGACGAGGATGACTTTGAGCCAGAACTCTCAGATCGAGGCCACCAGGTGTGTACATTTTTGTCAGGTCTTTCAGTTTTACAACTCCGTGTTCTATTATACATTTTTTGATTTGATGTCAAATATGGTTCCCAGAAAGATGCGCAACGGAAAAAAGAGCAAAAAAATATGCGCAACGGGAAAAGCGCAAATAGAAAAAAAGCGCAAACAGAAATTTGCGCACACAGAAAAAAGCGTAAACAGAAAAAAGCGTGAACAGAAAAATGCGCACACAGGAGAAAGCGCTAACAAATTTTTGTCCCCGTCAAATATATGTTCTATAATAAGAATCAGTTGTATGTTTTTAAACCTTCTCTTGACAGCTCAAGTGGTGAAACTGTTTAATTACATATGTGACTGTACAACTATACAATGTCTGTTTATACATCGTTGACACACCACTATGTCTGTTTACATAACGTAGACAATACACTATGTCTGTTTACATAACGTAGACAATACACTATGTCCGTTTAACAAGTAGACAACACAATATGTTTGTTTACATAACGTAGACGACACATTATGTATGTTACATAACATAGACAAAACACTATGACTGTCAACATAACGTAAACATCACACAATGTTTAAACAAAGTTCACAATACACTAATGCCTTTTACAGAACATTAACAGAACACTATGGCTGCCTATATAATGTCGACATTACACTATGACTGTGTACGAAACGTAAAAAACACACCTTGTTTACATAACACTATACATTTTTTCTTTTCTCTACAAAACATCCACTTTTTAAAGTTGTTTTGAGCACAATGTTATCTACCTGTTTGACGTGACGAATGCAATGCGTGTACCTTGCACTTTTTAAACCGGATCGAGTCTGCGTCAAATGTCAATAAAAAAAAGCTCAGCTTAGCCTAGTGCACAGTGTTGTTTGAATTGTTGAGTGGTGTGGTGTGCATAATCTCAATACAGGTGTGGGCTATTTTAAAACGCATGCTTTAACGCTGAATACACATTTAGAATTCATGTTTTATTAATTAGCTTGTTGGTTTTTTTGTTTGATATTTTATTTCGTGTCTAAATTATCATTTTTTTTAAATATTTTATTTTAATAAACTTGATTCTATAACTAAAGACCGCATTTTGATGATTCAATATCCTTCGTCCTTCATCCCTTAACCATCCCTTGCTTGCTTCCACTCCCCACCCCCTTACGCTTACAAAGCATACGAAGTTAGTAACTACGATAAGGTTTAAAAAGTCAGTGGCTACGATTTTTCCATACAATAGGCTTGAAAAGCTGGTTCCAAATAGTTCCAAATGTTTTTTGTCAGATAGCGTATTTTTCAACCATAATAGAATATTTTATAACATTTGTGTAATAAGTACAAAATGAATTCCGCGTTTTATTAAGGCTTGAAATGTACAAACAAATAATATCTAGTTCCATAACCGTAATTAAAGAAACTTTTATTTTTACTTTGGATTAGTAGGCTATACACCATTAACCACTAGTGTGTATTTTATAATGGAAAACAATAGTTGTGACTTTCATTAATTTACTCTCCCTGGGTGACTTCAAGTAGATGTTGCGGGCGGTTTTTAAATATATTTGAAATGGTAAAATAAATCCAAACGGCTTTTCAGCGGCTTGTATTCAATACAAAAATATGAAAATAAGTGTAATCGGTGTTTCCCAAACAGCTTTAAGTTTTAATAATGTAACTATAAATTTATCGCTTGCCATATTTTTAAAAAGGTTTGTTTTAAAATTTACCATGAACACGACTTTTCAAGCCTATTTTCGAAGTTGTTTAATACGAACAGCTAAAAGATCTAAAACGTTATTGTTTATCCTTGGTCAAATCAGAGGCGAGAGTATGGTCAGTACAGAGACGAACGTTCCACCAATCAAGAAGGACACACTGATACCTATGGCCAGGATTACTACGATTATGATTATGATGAGTGGACATCGGCTGACCAGCAGGATGACCGAAAGGATCATTACGCTATGGAGGGGCGAGGAGACAACGATAAATACTATGATGACGAGGACGATTATGAACCTCGTAAATCCAACGTAAATAACCCGCCTCCTTATTCAGACGACTTCCCGGCCCGTAAAGAACAACAAGCTTACTCGCACAATGAAACGTCAGCCTACCCCAATAATGCTTATGGTGCTCACAACTACAGCTACGCCCCACCCACTGTCCCAAGTTACCCCGTGCAACAAAATCAACCCCAGCCCACACCCTATGTACAGAGTTACAGGGATGACACATCTGTGGTGAACTCACCGTATTGGAGAGATGCACCTACACCAGAGATGGCTGCTCAGCCTTTGTATGCCGGGCAGTATGCTCTTGGGCCACGAATGCCAGAGGTAATGATTTAAGCAATTTGCTATAATATCTATTTAAGTATCAAATTTAACATTTTCGAAGCACAACACCATACGTACTAATTAATGTCAATTAACCTATATATATATATATATATATATATATATATATATATATATATATATATATATATATATATATATATATATATATATATATATATATATATTTATATATATATATATATATATATATATATATATATATATATATATATATATATATATATTTGTATGACTAGGAACCATTCCAAGATGTTCCCAGTTACAAATGCAGTAGCATACTTGTTATGCTCTTCTGCTGTCTACCCCTAGGTATAGCTGGACTGGTGTATACAGCTGATGTAAGTGGTTTTATTATTGTTTGTCATTTACGTCATACAACATCCTAATACAGAAGACAATGTGCACTTCTTTCTCTCCCTTTGTAAGTATCTCAAAATGTGTCCGAACAGAATTTCTCTCTCCCCCATTCCCCAAACAAAGTCTACTGTGTTACCCTTCTCCGCAGGCTGAAAACCTAATAATCCAAAGAAAATACTCGGAGGCCAAGAAGGTCGCGAACAAGGCAAAAGCCATGAACATCATCGGCGTCGTTCTCGGCATCCTGATCTGGATACTCAACGGGGTGCTCATATACTTTAGGTTCAGGAGCATACAGGCCCGTTACGAAGGGCATTACTAAAGGCCGTGAGAAAAGGGCTCTTCGGCCGAGCTACAATTGTTGAATTGTTATATTTTTTGTTATATATAAATCATTATATATATATATATATATATATATATATATATATATATATATATAAGTAGGCCTACATATATTGGGACGGTTCTCCTTAGCAGTGATATAAGCTTTTCTATATATGCTTATATTATGTCAGCAATTATATTTCACGCAATGTTCTTTTATAAATGTCCATGCTTTACAGACATATTCATATCAAGTGACAGTTCAATAATATCTAATTTTTTAAAAATGAAACTAGACATTTGATTACTCGCTAAATGTAAACATAAACAATAAAAAATTTCAGTCATGAAACTGGAGATTACTCAGAGGCGTAGCGGGGGTGGGGGCGCTCCAGGCGCCAAAATGGGTTATAGAAAAAATTAAAAGCTCATTTTAGCTGCAGTTTTGCATTATAAATATAAAAAATGTATGGGGGGGGGGGGGTCGCCAAATTGAAAGTTTGTCCCTTAATGCCGGGAAGGGTCGCTACGCCTCTGAGATTACTAGATTAAATAACAATAGCTTGATTAGTTAGCCAACGACAATTTAATATTGGTCACGGCTGGCTTGTTTTTTGAATGAGATTCCGCTACGGAATTTTAAAAATGTGTTTTATTTATATTTATTTTTAGTGCAGTTAATATTTGTTTTGTCTTTATATGAAATCGTGTTTGGCCAACTGATTATCTATATTTGTTGTAAGCAATTATTCTGAAAAGCTTATAGCTTCGACTGTAAGGCATTTGTAGTTTTTCCATGGTTATTTATGAATGTTGTGTAGTCAACCCTACAACAAGTAACGGTGTGGCCTATCAGTAGAGCGCTAGTTCGAATCCGGGTTCAAGTCAATTGAGCATCCATGAGTCAATTCAGCTCAGATGGGTACCTAGCTCACGTTAGGGAAAGTTAAGGCGGAGCATAGTACTGGTCACAATATCCCCTCATATGCCGAGGTTAAGAAACAAATGAACTCTATTTCATCTGCCCAGTAGGTCGTTAGATCTAAAAAGGAAACTTTACTTTAGTTTTACAACATAAATTCTGCGAGTTTGTTTGGCTCAGTTTTTCTGTGTTCAAGTACTTGATGGTTGCAGCCAGATAGAAATACCGGTTCTGGTGATGAGGCCATGTGATCTCTAGGGTAGAAGCCAAAAAAAAAAAACCAACGTAGAACATCGTTTTGGATACTGAAATATAATAATTTACCAGGTCAAGCATAAACAGAGAAGAAAACTTTATTTATAAATATCACATTGTTTATGAAATCTGGAAAAGTGTATATTGTTTTAAGGGGGCAGTATCACCCAGACTAAGGGAGGGAAACAAAAACTAACACCAAAAAAAAAAACTATTCGTCATAAACATCTCAAAATTTTACGGCAGTAGTAATGTTTCTTTTGCTATAATACAGTATATAAATTGTAGGGTATATGTATGGCAATAAATTGTCAAAAATTATTTTGTTAATATTTTATCACATTTTGAATTTTTTTGTAAACATTTTCTCGAAACCATAAGTAAAATACTTAAAATTTGGTATAAACCTTCCTTGCGTTATTGGCTACGTCCGGGACTAAGATAATGGTAATATATTTAATATATAAATACAATTATGGTTTTCTTTAAGGCTAAAGGACAACTATACTAGTTTGTCCTATCCTGAGTAATCCCCATTAGACGTTATATGTTATGAAAGAATGCTGATTTTTACTTTCTCGTATATACGAAGTATAGAGAAAGTCTTGTAATCGTGCAAAAAAATAAATCGAGATTTTCACAAATCTCGACATTTTACACCTCACTGATACGGAAAAACATAATTTTGCAATCTTGTCCGTATGTCTGTGTGTCTGTCTGTGTGTCTGTGTGTAAACACGATAACTTGAGAACTGTTACAGCTGGGTTGATGAAATTTCATATATAAGTGTTTTATCAAAATCGTAGATCCTGATCAACTTTTGAGCGATTTCAGATAACCGGAAGTGGTACTTTTTCTACTTTAAATTTTTCAAACGCCTATAACTTGAGTACTATTTCAGATAGATAAATGAAATTTCACATGTAAGTAAAAGATCTAAGTTTCTACCTTCTGCCAAATTTTCAGTAATTTCCGTTTACGGGAAGTACTAATTTTCGCTATTTTCGATTTCTCAAAAAAAGTACTAATAATATTGCGCACTATTATGCACATTTTGTTTTGGCGTTCGCTTGGTGCGCAATTCTTTTTTCTATGAGATTCTATTCTATTTTTAAAAGTTTAAGTAATTAAAAATCATGTCTATATTCCAAGTTATATAAGAACATTCGAGAAAGTTTTGAGGAGATCACTCCCGGTTTATTTTTTGCTCGAACTTTTATGTTTGGAATTGATTGTTTCACTCTGCTATTCTCTTACTCAATGGTTTTGGATTTAAATTTCAAACAGATCAATCTTTTTTTTAATGAATTTTTACGTTTTAGCCTTTTTAGTATTTGATTGTGGACGGAGTGACCTTGCTGTAGAGAGCTAGATTAATAACCCAAAAGTCTCAAGTTCAAATCTGGGTTTAAGTCAGTAGGACTCCTTGAGTCAACCCAGCTCTTCTGAGTACCTAACTCACGTTACTGCTGACCACAGTATCCATTAATATGTCCTAGTGACAGAAATAGGTGAACTTGACTTCATTTGTCCTATAGATCATTAGGTTTAAGGGATAATTTACTTACTTTAATTATGTGCTTATTGCTAGCTCGGTCAATGTATCTATTAAGACTTTGTTGTGATTATAGAGGATGGAGTAGGAATTAGTTATATACACGTACTAGGATTTAAAGTCTAGTTTGTGTTTACGATTCGGAGTGGACTTGCAACTTAACTTCCGGCAAAGGTTTTGGCTGTGGTTATAGTTCAAGATTGTTGTTTAAAATGGTAGAAAATGATAATAATCGAGATTGTTAAAATTAGAATTGTTAGCTTAGTAAAATAGAAAAAGAAAGATTACAAGAAATAGAATGATACATCAGCATTACAGCAAGCTTCGACACACAAAAAAGTACAGAATAAAATGTGTCCACAATTTGCCTGTACACATCAAAACCGTTTTACATGTCTATGTACACATCAACTACAGTATAAGTAATTAACATCAACTACAGTATAAGTAATTAACATCAACTACAGTATAAGTAATTAACATCAACTACAGTATAAGTAATTAACATCAACTACAGTATAAGTAATTAACATCAACTACAGTATAAGTAATTAACATCAACTACAGTATAAGTAATTAACATCAACTACAGTATAAGTAATTAACATCAACTACAGTATAAGTAATTAACATCAACTACAGTATAAGTAATTAACATCAACTACAGTATAAGTAATTAACATCAACTACAGTATAAGTAATTAACATCAACTACAGTATAAGTAATTAACATCAACTACAGTATAAGTAATTAACATCAACTACAGTATAAGTAATTAACATCAACTACAGTATAAGTAATTAACATCAACTACAGTATAAGTTATTAACAGTTCATCCATTTTGAAAATTTCTTTTTATTGCAAATCAATCACTGTTTACCTGATAAAATTAACTGCAATGTACCTGCACACATCTGCTAAAATTTACCTGATAGATTCCAGTTTACCTGTAAACATCAGCCACCATTTACCTAATAAATTCAATCACAATATATTTGTACCTCCATATTAATCAGTTTACATTTAAACTTTAATTATATTTTACCTGAACACATCAATCATATTAACTTCTCCGCAAGAACCATAACCTAATCCTGCGCCTCAACCATAGTTTACATGACTGTATAAAACCAATCACAATTTACATGTACACATAAACTTCTTCACATCAACAATAGTTTACATGTATAAAACCAATCACAATTTACATCATGTACACATCAACTTCTGCACATCAACAATAGTTTACATGTATAAAACCATCACAATTTACATAATGTAGCCTACACATCAACTTCTGCACATTAACCATGTACACATCTATCGTAGTTGTTTACGTTTGTGTGCCTGGTGATTTCGCTACGCATGAGCAAACAAAGATACTTGTAATGCTCTTCATTTCCCCAAGTTATGTAAATATAAATGCAAGTAGTGCATTAAGTCGGTTAGCCCGAAGGACGATTTACCTACGAACCGGTTGCAGCCGCTGTGAAGAGACATGCGCAGTCAAGTCCTACCACAAGCTAGACAGCGACAGCTTATTCGTGTACAATCAATTTAAAGGTAGGTTGTGGATTTGTTTCATTGCAGGTTTAGTGGTAATTTTTTTTATTGGATACAACGACACCCGCTTTATTTAATCATGTGAGCTATTGGTAAAGTTTGTGACAAAAAACCGTTAAATAGAAAATAAAGATAAAACAATAAAACAGAGATTGAAGATTATCTTACTCATTTCGGTGACAAAAATATTTGTTAAACAAAACACGGGTAAGTGATTGAATTACCGTTAATGATTTTTAAAAAATGAAATTTTTAAATAGTTTCTTATTTTTGTGATATTGGACAAGCATTATAAATATATATGCGAACATGGCAAAGCAAACTAAGGCTAAAAATTACGTGAATGAGGCAAAAAAAGCAAAAGAAATAGGAGTAATAAATCAAGCAGTTAGCTTAGAAAAGGATAAGATTGGAATAAGTGTTAAGGTGATGATGGTTCTCGATATAGATTGAAAACTACAATTTAATGATGAAAAATACATCAACCCAGAATGTTTTCCGATAAGCCTAGCCTTTTATATTTACTTAACAAACAGGATCCTCCTTCCTAGGCTTGTCACATCACATCCTGGTTGGTTAAGTTCTTGATTTAGAACAAGGATTCTCAAAAGTTTTATCATGGAACCCGTTAATATTTGATTTAATACATACATCGTTTATTAGTTTATATAGTTGTTTATTATTATTATTGATACTTTAAGGGGCTTATCATAATTATTATCATCATCACGATTATCCGCAGCATCATAATCATGAACATTTTTATTGTTATTATAATTAATATTATTATTACTAGTAGTAGTAGTAGTATGGTAGTAGTGGTGGTAGTAGTAGTAGTAGTAGTAGTAGTAGTAGTAGTAGTAGTAGTAGTAGTAGTAGTAGTAATAGTACTAGTACTATTATTATTACTACTACTACTAAAATATTAATATTATTAATATTACTATTATTATTATTATTATTATTATTATTTTTATTACCTTTGCTAAAGGGTCGCAATCAAATTCGTTACGCTATAATTAATCTAGTGTCTTTGCGAAATAAATGATGGGTACTCAACCACATTATCCCTACATTATCCAAAAATATGAACTCTACTTCATCTGGACATTGGGTCTCTAGGTCTAAAAAGGAATCTTTACTATTTGCCAATTAAAACACCCGATATTAGTTCTCTATTCTATTACCTGCAGAAAAGTTATCGATATTCTATTAACTTTTCTTTAGATCATGGACCTACACTAAAATTGTATTTTATAAACAATTCCTAGAACATGGTCTACATGAACTTGTCTATCCAATAACCATTTACTAGAACATGGCCCTACATAAACGTCTCTATCATATAATCATTTACTAGAACGCGATCGAATATAAACTTCTCTATCCTATAATCCAGGGGTCTCCAAACTTTTCAGTCCGAGGGCCGCATTAACTATCAAATTTCAGTTCGGGGGCCAGTTTCTTCCAGGCATGTCTTTGATTTTTCTGGGCAAAGTTCCTCAGCCATCACCAACAAACAATTTTTTCTTGGACAAAAAGATCTCCGCGGGCCGGATGAGAGGACTTCGAGGGCCGCATCAGGCCCGCGGGACGTAGTTTGGAGACCCCTTCTATAATCATTTACTAGAATACGATCTTATATAAACTTCTCTATCCTATAACCAATTACTAGAACAAGGACCTACACAAAAACTTATTTATTCTGTACCAATTCCCTTAGACCATGGCCCTACATAAACTTCTCTATCATATAATCATTTACTAGAATGCGATCCAATATAAACTTCTCTATCCTATAATCATTTACTAGAATACGATCCTATATAAACTTCTCTATCCTATAACCAATTACTAGAACAAGGACCTACACAAAAACTTATTTATTCTGTACCATTTTCCCTTAGACCATGGATCGAGGCGGTGATAAAACTCTCTTGTTGAGTGCTGACGAGGATGACTTTGAGCCAGAACTCTCAGACCGAGGGCATCAGGTGAGTACATTTTTGTCAGGGCTTTCAGTTTTACAACTCCGTGTTCTATTATACATTATTTGATTTGATGTCAAATACAGGTTCCCAGAAAGATGCGCAACGGAAAAAAGCGCAAAAAAATATGCGCAACGGGAAAAGCGCAAATAGAAACAAGCGCAAACAGAAATTTGCGCACACAGAAAAATGCGTAAACAGAAAAATGCGCAGACAGAAAATTGCGCACATAGAAAAAAGCGTAAACAGAAAAATGCGCACACAGAGAAAAGCGAAAACAAAATTTTGTCCCCGTCAAATATGTGTTCTATAATAAGAATCAGTTGTATGGTTTTAAACCTTCTCTTAACAGCTCAAGTGGTGAAACTGTTTAATATCATATGTGACTGTACAACTATACAATGTCTGTTTATACATCGTTGACACGCCACTATGTCTGTTTACATAACGTAGACAACACACTATGCCTGTTTACAAAGTAGACAACACGATATGTTTGTTTACAAAGTAATATGTTTGTTTATATAACGTAGACAACACATTATGTATGTTACATAACATAGACAAAATACTATGACTGTCAACATAACGTAAACATCACACAAGGTTTAAACAATGTTCACAATACACTAACGCCTTTTACAGAATATTTACAGATCACTATGGCTGCCTACGTAATGTCGACAATACACTAACGCCTTTTACAGAACATTAACATAACACTATGGCTGCCTACGTAATGTTGACATTACACTATGACTGAGTACAAAACGTAAACAACATACATTGTTTACATAACACTATACATTTTTTCTTTTCTCAACAAAACATTGACTTTTTAAAGTTGTTTTAATCACAATGTTATCTACCTGTTTGATGTGACGAATGCAATGCGTGTACCTTGCACTTTTTAAACCGGATCGAGTCTGCGTCAAATGTCAATTAAAAAAGGCTCGGCTTAAGCTTGGGGCACAGTGTTGTTTGAATTGTTGAGTGGTGCGGTGTGCATAATCTCAATACAGGTGTGGGCTATTTTAAAACGCATGCTTCAACGCTGAATACACATTTAGAATTCATGTTTTATTAATTAGCTTGTTGTTTTTTGTTTGGTATTTTATTTCGTGTCTAAATTATCATTTTTTTTTAAATCTTTTATTTTAATCAACTTGATTCTATAACTAAAGACTGCATTTTGTTGATTCAATATCCTTCGTCCTTCATCCCTTAACCATCCCTTGCTTCCATTCCCCACCCCCTTACGCTTACAAAGCATACGAAGTTAGTGACTACAATAAAGTTTAAAAAGTCAGTGGCTGCGATTTTTCCATACAATAGGCTTGAAAAAGCTGTTTCCAAATGGTTCCAAATGTTTGTTGCCAGAAAGCATATTTTTCAATCAAAATTAATATTTGATAACATTTGTGTAATAAGTTCTGAATTACTTCCGGTTTTATTTAGGCTTGAAATGTTCGTCTAGTTCTATAATAGTAATTTAATAACTTTTATTTTTAATTTGGAATAGTAGGACCACTATTGTGTATTTTATCATGGAAAACAACTGTTGTGACTTTCATTAATGTTTATTATCAAACAGTAGCTATCCAAACATATCTAAACACATTTAAATTAAGTGATTTGCATTTTTCAATTTGGGGGTTTAACCTGACCTTAATTTACTCTCCCTGGATGACTTCAAGTATATGTTGACGGCGGTATTTAAATATATTTGAAATGATAAAATAATTCCAAACGGCTTTTCAGCGGCTTGTATTCAATAAAAAAATATGTAAATAAGTATAATCAGTGTTTCCAAAACAGCTTTCAGTGTTTTAAATGTAACTATAAATTTATCGCTTGCCATATTATTTTTTTAAATTTGGTATGAATACATAGACTTTTCAATGCTATTTTTGAGGTGTTTAATACGAACTGCTAAAAGATCTAAAACGTTACTGTTTATCCTTCGTCAATCAGAGGCAAGAGTATGGTCAGTACAGTGACGAATGTTCCACTAATCAAGAAGGACACACTGATACCTATGGCCAGGATTACTACGATTATGATTATGATGAGTGGACATCGGCTGACCAGCAGGATGACCGAAAGGATCATTACGCTATGGAGGGGCGAGGAGACAACGATAAATACTACGATGACGAGGACGATTATGAACCTCGTAAATCCAACGTAAATTACCCGCCTCCTTATTCTGACGACTTCCCGGCCCGAAAAGAACAACAAGCTTACTCGCACAATGAAACATCAGCCTACCCCACGACTGCTTATGGTGCTCACAACTACAGCTACGCCCCACCCACTGTCCCAAGTTACCCCATGCAACAAAATCAACCCCAGCCCACATCCTATGTACAGAGTTACAGGGATGACACATCTGTGGTGAACTCACCGTATTGGAGAGATGCACATGCACCACAGATGGCTGCTCAGCCCTTGTATGCCGGGCAGTATGCGCTTGGGCCACAAATGCCAGAGGTAATAGTTTGAGCACTTTGCTATATTATCTATTTAATTAAGCATCATATTTAAAATAATTTCGAAGCCCAACACCATACGTACTAATTAATGATAATTAACCTATATATATATATATATATTTGTATGACTAGGAACCATTCCAAGATGTTCCCAGTTACAAATGCAGTAGCATACTTGTTATGCTCTTCTGCTGTCTACCCCTAGGAGTAGCTGGACTGGTGTATTCATCTAATGTAAGTGTTTTTATTATTCTTAGTTATTTACATCATAAAACATACTAATACAGAAGCCAATGTGCACTTCTTTCTCTCCCTTTGTAAGTATCTGAAAATGTGTCCGAGAAGAATTTCTCCCCTCCCCCCAAAGAAAGTGTACCCCCCCCCCCCCCTCCACGACAGAAATGTAATTTATATAGAAAACATAATTTTATCAGCCAGAAATAATGAAAGTAGATTTGTTAAAACCGGGTTTTAACAGAATTATCTAACGTGTGCATTCGTTAAAGTGTTTTGCTGAATATTTGCTTATATTTTGATATTTCTTCTAAGCCCGCAGCAACGCGTGACTGGTATGCTAGTAATCAGATAATACACGACTACCACTCACAGATATACCCAATCACATTATAATGTACGAGCCGACCCGCGGCGTATCACATGCCGCTATCTAGTTGTTAATTTTCTTCTTTTCAGTAATTCATAGTTCGTGAATTCGACACTACCCTCCCATCCATTCCCCCCCCCCCCCTACAGCCACAGTGAAAGCAGCCGACCGTGATGACAGTTTACGGATGACAATGAAAAGATCAAGCAGAACTTCATACCGCTTTTTTGTTTCAAATCGTTTAAAATCGAAATTATCTACCCCTAATTGCCGTTGCTAATTCGACCCGGCTCTACGATTGTAAAAGAATTGTGGGGGCGGGGGTGGTAGCTATATGCCTAGAGAGCGGGGCAGTAACGACGTGCGTTTACGTGGTGTCTCGCATGGTCCCCATGAAGAGAATTTTATATATATATATATATATATATATATATATATATATATATATATAGAGAGAGAGAGAGAGAGAGAGAGAGAGAGAGAGGGAGAGAGAGAGAGACTAATAAAAACTTTAACCTCGTACATTTAAAACTGATCATTGTGCTACCATTCTTCGCAGGCTGAAAACCTAAAAATCCAGAGAAAATACTCGCAGGCCAAGACGGTTGCGAACAAGGCGAGAACCATGAACATCTTGGGCGTCGTTATCGGCATCCTGCTCTGGATGCTCAACGGAGTACTCATATACTTTAGGTTCCGGAGCATACAGGCCCGTTACGAAGGGCATTACTAAAGGCAGTAAGAAAGGGCTCTTTGGCCGAGCTACAATGGTTGAATTGTTATATTTTTTGTTATATATAAATCATTTTATTTATATATATATATGTATATATATATATATATATATATATATATATATATATATATATATATATATATATATATATATATACATATATATATAAATATGTATGTATATATATATATATATATATATATATATATATATATATATATATATATATATATATATATATATATATATATATATATATATATATATATACATATATATATATATATATATATTTATATTTATATTTATATATATATATATATATTTATATTTATATATATATATATATATATATATATATATATATATATATATATATATGTAAGTATGTAAGTACATATATTGGGACGGTTCTCCTTAGCAGTGATATTAGCTTTTCTATACATGCTTATATTATGTCAGCTATTATATTTCACGCAATGTTCTTTTACAAATGTCCATGCTTTACAGACACATTCGTATCAAGTGAAAGTTAAAGAATATCTCATTTTTAAAATGGAATTAGACATTTGATTACTCGCTAAATGTAAACAAAAACAATAAAAAAATTCAGTCATGAAACTGGAGATTACTCAGAGGCGTAGCGGGGGTGGGGGCGCTCCAGGCGCCGACCCTAGTGGGCGCCAAAATGGGTTGGAGAAAAAATTAAAAGCTCATTTTAGCTGCAGTTCTGCAATATAAATATAAAAAAAATATATGGGGGGGGGGTCGCCAAATTGAAAGTTTGTCCCTGGGTGCCGGGAAGGGTCGCTACGCCTCTGAGATTACTAGATTAAATAACAATAGCTTGATTAGTTAGCCAACGACAATTTAATATTGGTCACGGCTGGCTTGTTTCTTGAATGAGATTCCGCTACGGAATTTAAAAGATGTGTTTTATTTATATTTATTTTTAATGCAGTTAATATTTGTTTTGTCTTTATATGAAATCGTGTTTGGCCAACCGAATATCTATATTTGTTGTAAGCAATTATTCTGAAAAGCTTATAGCTTCGACTGTAAGGCATTTGTAGTTTTTCCATGGTTATTTATGAATGTTGTGTAGTCAACCCTACAACAAGTAACGGTGTGGCCTATCAGTAGAGCGCTAGTTCGAATCCGGGTTCAAGTGATTGGAGCATCCCTGAGTCCACTCAGCTCAGATGGGTACCTAGCTCACGTTAGTGAAAGTTAAGGCGGAGCATAGTACTGGTCACATTATCCCCTCATATGCCGAGGTCAAGAAACGAATGAACTCTATTTCATCTGCCCAGTAGGGCGTTAGATCTAAAAGGAATCTTTACTTTAGTTTTACAACATAAATTCTGCGAGTTTGTTTGGCTCAGTTTTTTTGTGTTCAAGTACTTGATGTTTGCAGCCAGGTAGAAATACCGGTTCTGGTGATCAGGCCGTGTGATCTCTAGGGTAGAAGCCCAAAAAAACGTAGAACATCGTTTTGGATACTGAAATATAATAATTTACCTGGTCAAGCATAAACAGAGAAGAAAACTTTATTTATAAATATCACATTGTTTATGAAATCTGGAAAAGTGTATATTGTTTTAATGATATACAAATAATTTTTTATTATTTTTTTGTAATGCCTATATGAATATTTTTGTTTTTATACGATATTTTTTATTAAATCTTTTTTATCAGTTATCTTTTGTTTTAAAAAGTGTTTTAACTCTAAATAGCGACTTGATTAAATTTTGAATTAATGTATCTTCGTTGATAACTGATGGTAAGTACAATCTACGTTATTAAAATGTCGTTCCTAGTTAATTGAACTAATTAACAAGGTAGAAAACGAAAGCTGAACTATGTCTCAATTCTTGGATTCTTGTAGAACATATTCCCAACCAATGACGATATTCCATTAGTAATTTTCATTAATTTTAATTAGAAAAATTATTGTAAATTTTATAGATCTGGTACTTAAAAATGAAGTCTATATGAGCAGACACCATGTTTTCTTTTTGTCACTTAGGGCGACAGGACACTGAGAAAATTAGCAAAATATTATTAGGAAAAACAACTGAGGGGCCACAAACACTCCCATAGCACAGTGTAACAGTTTTACACTGATCCAGTATTACTACATTACTTTATTTTAAAGAAAAGTTCTCTTTCAAACATGAGAGTCTATAGTACAAATAAAGTAGAGTTCACTGTATCTGTGACATCGACATATGCAGGGATAGGGTGGTCAGCCGCCTTTACTTTCCCTAACATGAGATAGGTACTCATCCGAGCTGGGTGGACTCAGTGATGTCTTACTCACAAGAACCATGATTCGAACTCGAGACTTTCGGGTTAGTAGTCTAGCAGTCTAGCCCTCTACCGCTAGGCCACTCCGTCCCATAACTTTGTCTTTACTAGAGTTATATTCCAAAACCTCGTTATACCTCAGACGTTTAAAAATAACATAGTATGTACAAAATATCACGTTAAACTGTCTAGTAAAATAATCACTTAAATAACACATGACACACTTACTAAAAAAAGATATACCCTATAATAATCTTCTTATAAAATATAATTATAATACAATTTTTAAGACCTGTATGTAAAATTTAATGCACTGTGAAATTTAACTGTACATAACATACAACGTAAAGTGTGTCAAACGAAGTGATGTGACAAATATAAGCTGTGTAATAACCCGCGTAGTGCGGCAGTTGAAGGTAAGCTATAAATACATTCAATCAGTCCAGGATGTTGCGTTGTTGCAACACACACTGCGCTTACAAGGCTTTGCTGTTTACCGAACTTGGGTGTTAAGGTAAGGTGAAGGTCACACATTCAATGTTTCTCACATGATCTTTAATGGGTTTGCGTTTAACTTATCTTGGGGGTGTTAATAGTTTAAAGAAAAAACAACACAAAATCAACTCTAATGTAATATGAATATGATATTTTAGTTGGGGATATTTGGGTGGGAAGGATAACTACATGCTTACACTAACACACACAGACACAGACACACACACACACACACATATATATATATATATATATATATATATATATATATATATATATATATGTATATATAAATATATATATATATATGTATGTATGTATGTATATATATATATATATAAATATATAGGCATATATACCTATATATATATATATATATATATATATATATATATATATATATATATATATATATATATATATATATATATATATATATAAAATCCACACACTATTATAGTGTAAGACACATGCAAGGTATACTTACAATCCACCCAAAGTTTCTAATATTTCGTTCTGCTACTTCACCTCTAAAATGAATGAATTTGAAGTGGGTAATACTACTCTTATTGTAATGCATGAAGAAACATCAGCGTGTTTTCTTAAGGTATTAAGCAAGGGGAGGTAAATCCTGTTCCCTGAACACAGAGGCATCCTGTGATGTCCACAGGAAAACACAATTTCTACAAACACCGTGTTTGGGTGTGATAGGTCCTGACAGGTAAGTCGATTTTACAAGTTGTATTTTTTAAAATTAAGTATCAAAAGTATATAAGAAAAAATAATTTTAAAATGTTTAGTAGTGATGTTTGTGTGTGGTTAAGTTGTAAATAGTTTTTCTCGAAATTGTGATACAGGTGAGGTATTTGTATTTCGAAGTAAACTTTAGTTTAGGTATAGTTGTTGTAGAGGTTATTCTTCCATGTCTATTCGCTATTTGCTTGTTCATTATGCTGAAACAGTGTATTTGTTATTACTTCCTGTTTGGTTAGTTTCTATTAATAGAACAATAGTTGGCAACTGTTTTCTTAGATAATAATCATTAAAAAAAGTTAAAAAAAAACACGTTTTCTGATTGAACTAAAAAGTAGAAAATAAATGCTATAAGCGATGAAAAACGTGGGGCGCCGAAGTAAAAGTTATATTACTATTGATTAGATAATACTATTGACTTTTATTAGGGAGCTTGTAGAGAGTCAACAGTATTAGAAACTGTAAGAAAATCACGGCGCCCCACGTTTTTGATCGCTTATAGTAGAGTGATCGCTTGCATTATTGTGATGTAGGCCTATAGCATTTATTTTCTACTTTTTAGTTCAATCAGAAAACGTGGGTTTTTAAAAACTTTTTTAAAGATTATTATTTTCTACTTTTAATCTTTGTCTGTTTGTTTGCATTAAAATCTTGCTATCGATTTTATCTTTTCGCTTTTTTTTGGGTAAACGAAGACAACTCGTAAAAAGACAACTCGTAAAAAGACAACTCGTAAAAAACACGTTGTGTGAATACGTTACTGACTAGAACACATAGATTTGAACCCGTGTCGAGTGGGATAGCAATCGTGTGCCCAACCACTCGACCATATCGACTCCCCCATACTGGCCACCAGTTGTTACGGTTGTTTGTACACAAATTACAGTTACTGGGTTATGTCCCTTTTTCCCCACGTTTTTACTACAACGAGCCGACCCGCGGCGTATCATCCTTATAGCCGTCACTAAACCTAGCTGTACGGTTTGTAAACATTAACGTGACCACAGCTCAGCAGACCATGTGGGGGTGGGGTAGGGTGGTAGTGATAGTGATAGAGAGAAAGAGAGGGGACTGTAAGGAGGCGCTTGCAGCTTCTTTTCGAATGGCTCGCAGAGGAGAATTATATATACGAGCCGACCCGCTGCGTATCATACGCCGCTATTTAGTTGTTTTTTTTTCTACTTTTCAGTAATTTATAATTTGTGAATTCGACAGTACCAATGCTGCCATTGAAAATATTTGCTTAAAAACACTACCCCCCCCCCCCCACGTGAAAGCAGCCTCCTCTTAGTTACCTCCTCTAAGTTTAAAATCGTTTCAAACTAAATTATCTGCCCCTAATAGCCGTCACCAAACCCGTCTCTGTGATTGTAAAATGTAAACAGAGTGAACACAACTCACCAGACAATGTGGGGGTGGGGTGGGGGTGGTTGTGATATTGATATAGAGGAAGAGAGGGGACTGCAAAGGCGCGCTTGCAGCTTGTTTTCTAACTGATCCCAGAAGAGAATTATATATATAGATAGATTATATAGCGGTCTAAAATGCTCAATAAAATGTTTCCATGGATCAATTTAGTAATAATAACAATTGAATATTCTAATGTCATCCAAAACAAAGCTTCCCTGAAAATTTCAGCGCGCTAGCTAACTGGGAAGTGCCAGAAATTTCGATCGCAAGATTTGATTGGAAAGACAAACAAACAGAGACGAAAGCAAGTTAAAGAAAACGTGGGAAAATACCCTTGTAGTTATGATTTAATTTCATCCGTTCATCCTACTGTTTAAAAAAAGCCTGTTTAATTTTGTAATGAGATTGCAATTATTTTGCTTCAACTGGAAGCAAATCTCTTCAAAAATTGTTATTTTTAGTGTTTGCATATATTAGTAATAAGAGTTGTTAGAACACAAACTACAACATATGTACCACAACTCGATAAACTTATTTTTACTGTGTGATAATATTTGGAGATTTAAATGTAAGTTCATAGCAATATTAACATTTTGTAAAATAATTGTTAATTTTGTTTTAAGTATCTTTTAAATTTCAAATATACATGAACTAACAAATATTAGGTTGGAATAATTTAAAAAAAAAGAAATGTCAAACGTATGAACGATTTTGGTTCGGTTTATTTTTATTTCACGTGAGAAAGGATAGAAATTATGTAGATAACGACAACGAAAGTTGTGAAAATAAAATACCAAATGATATGCAGAAACTTGGCTCGAATAGACCTTTGTATATTTTCTAGGTTAAAGTAAATATGTGTCCTAATTGTTCTAACCCCCATTTAATTTGGGAAAATGGCCTACACAAACCTCTCTATATTACAAACATTTATTTGAACGTCACCCTTAAGAAATAAACTTCTCTATTCTGTACCAATTTTCTTAGAACATAGCCCTATATACAATTCTCTATCCTATAACCATTTACTGGAACGTGGCCCTACACAAAAACTTCTTTATTCTGTACCAATTCCCTTAGACCATGGCCCTACACAAAAACTTCTCTATTCTGTACCAATTCCCTTAGACCATGGCCCTACACAAAAACTTCTCTATTCTGTACCAATTCCCTTAGACCATGGCCCTACACAAAAACTTCTCTATTCTGTACCAATTCCCTTAGACCATGGCCCTACACAAAAACTTCTCTATTCTGTACCAATTCCCTTAGACCATGGCCCTACACAAAAACTTCTCTATTCTGTACCAATTCCCTTAGACCATGGCCCTACACAAAAACTTCTCTATTCTGTACCAATTCCCTTAGACCATGGCCCTACACAAAAACTTCTCTATTCTGTACCAATTCCCTTAGACCATGGCCCTACACAAAAACTTCTCTATTCTGTACCAATTCCCTTAGACCATGGCCCTACACAAAAACTTCTCTATTCTGTACCAATTCCCTTAGACCATGGCCCTACACAAAAACTTCTCTATTCTGTACCAATTCCCTTAGACCATGGCCCTACACAAAAACTTCTCTATTCTGTACCAATTCCCTTAGACCATGGCCCTACACAAAAACTTCTCTATTCTGTACCAATTCCCTTAGACCATGGCCCTACACAAAAACTTCTCTATTCTGTACCAATTCCCTTAGACCATGGCCCTACACAAAAACTTCTCTATTCTGTACCAATTCCCTTAGACCATGGCCCTACACAAAAACTTCTCTATTCTGTACCAATTCCCTTAGACCATGGCCCTACACAAAAACTTCTCTATTCTGTACCAATTTCCTTAGACCATGGCCCTACACAAAAACTTCTCTATTCTGTACCAATTCCCTTAGACCATGGCCCTACACAAAAACTTCTCTATTCTGTACCAATTCCCTTAGACCATGGCCCTACACAAAAACTTCTCTATTCTGTACCAATTTCCTTAGACCATGGCCCTACACAAAAACTTCTCTATTCTGTACCAATTCCCTTAGACCATGGCCCTACACAAAAACTTCTCTATTCTGTACCAATTCCCTTAGACCATGGCCCTACACAAAAACTTCTCTATTCTGTACCAATTCCCTTAGACCATGGCCCTACACAAAAACTTCTCTATTCTGTACCAATTCCCTTAGACCATGGCCCTACACAAAAACTTCTCTATTCTGTACCAATTCCCTTAGACCATGGCCCTACACAAAAACTTCTCTATTCTGTACCAATTCCCTTAGACCATGGCCCTACACAAAAACTTCTCTATTCTGTACCAATTCCCTTAGACCATGGCCCTACACAAAAACTTCTCTATTCTGTACCAATTCCCTTAGACCATGGCCCTACACAAAAACTTCTCTATTCTGTACCAATTCCCTTAGACCATGGCCCTACACAAAAACTTCTCTATTCTGTACCAATTCCCTTAGACCATGGCCCTACACAAAAACTTCTCTATTCTGTACCAATTCCCTTAGACCATGGCCCTACACAAAAACTTCTCTATTCTGTACCAATTCCCTTAGACCATGGCCCTACACAAAAACTTCTCTATTCTGTACCAATTCCCTTAGACCATGGCCCTACACAAAAACTTCTCTATTCTGTACCAATTCCCTTAGACCATGGCCCTACACAAAAACTTCTCTATTCTGTACCAATTCCCTTAGACCATGGCCCTACACAAAAACTTCTCTATTCTGTACCAATTCCCTTAGACCATGGCCCTACACAAAAACTTCTCTATTCTGTACCAATTCCCTTAGACCATGGCCCTACACAAAAACTTCTCTATTCTGTACCAATTTCCTTAGACCATGGCCCTACACAAAAACTTCTCTATTCTGTACCAATTCCCTTAGACCATGGCCCTACACAAAAACTTCTCTATTCTGTACCAATTCCCTTAGACCATGGCCCTACACAAAAACTTCTCTATTCTGTACCAATTCCCTTAGACCATGGCCCTACACAAAAACTTCTCTATTCTGTACCAATTTCCTTAGACCATGGCCCTACACAAAAACTTCTCTATTCTGTACCAATTCCCTTAGACCATGGCCCTACACAAAAACTTCTCTATTCTGTACCAATTCCCTTAGACCATGGCCCTACACAAAAACTTCTCTATTCTGTACCAATTCCCTTAGACCATGGCCCTACACAAAAACTTCTCTATTCTGTACCAATTCCCTTAGACCATGGCCCTACACAAAAACTTCTCTATTCTGTACCAATTCCCTTAGACCATGGCCCTACACAAAAACTTCTCTATTCTGTACCAATTCCCTTAGACCATGGCCCTACACAAAAACTTCTCTATTCTGTACCAATTCCCTTAGACCATGGCCCTACACAAAAACTTCTCTATTCTGTACCAATTCCCTTAGACCATGGCCCTACACAAAAACTTCTCTATTCTGTACCAATTCCCTTAGACCATGGACCGGGGCGGAGATAGAACTCTCTTGTTGAGTGCTGACGAGGATTTCTTCGAGCCAGAACTCTCAGACCGAGGACATCAGGTGTGTAGGCCTACATTTTGTGGGTCAGTTTTACAACTCCGTGTCTCATTAAACATTATTTTATTTGACTTCAAATATATGTTCTATATTAATTAGCTGTTCGTTGTATGGTTTGTGAACGGAATTGATTCTCAATCCAACACCCATGTTTGTGTTCATGACTTTGCCAGCACACCTTGTGTGTAGATAACTTGACAGCACACCACGTCAGTTTACATAACATTGACATTGGTTTTTTTTGTGTCTATATAACATTAACAACACGCCACGTCTGGTTATTAACATTGACAGCATTTATGTCCGTTTGATAAAGGGAAACCTTTTTGAAATAAAAACACACTACAGTTTATATGGTTGACTTGTCAAATCGTTGTGTGGATCTTTCTTTTTATGCAGCGAATCGTGGCTGCGTCTTATGTCAAATGTATAAACACTTAGCTTAGTCAAGCGCACTGTGTTTTGTGTATGTCCTAGTGGTGTGTGTGTGTATGTATGTGTGTGTGTGTGTGTACGCGCGCAAAGCCGTAACAATTGAGTGAAAATATTTTTCACATACTGGTTTACATAAAATATAACTATAATTTTTGAAAATTTCTTTTTTTCAACTGGATTTTTTAATTTTTAATTTAATTTTGTTAATTTCAAAATATAGCATATTATTATCTTTCCTTATTTCTCATTTTTAACAACTCTCTTCTCTAAAGATAAACCAGTACTATAGGCCTCACTCTTCTCTCCCTTATACCTTCATGTCCATGTCCACTTGTCATCAAGGTGCCTCGACCAAATTTTAACAGCTACCGAGATATGTTTCTTTAGGGATTACGTGTAAAGCATACAGTTAGTAATGACGACGTGGTCAAATGGTAGGGCGTTCGACTACTTACACAAAAGACTTGAGTTCAGGTCCCCGACTTACTTTATCTACTTTAGAGAAAGTAAAAGCGGCTGGCATAGGACGGCGTTGCCTAGTGATGAAGCGCTAGACTGCTAACCCGATAGGTTCGAGTTCGAATCCGGGTTCAAGTTAATGGAACGTCCCTGAGTCTACCCAAATCTGATGGGTACCTAACTCACGTTAAGGAAAGTAAAAGCGACTGGGCATAGTGCTGACCACATTATTTCTCTATATGCCGAGGTCAAGAAACATGTAAATGCTACATCACCTGCCAATGGGCCGCCATGGTTTGAAGGGGATCATTACTTTTACAAAATCAATAACAACGGGTAAAAACGTGGGGCGCCGAAGTAAAAGTTATATTACTATTGATTAGATAATACTATTGACTTTTATTTGGGAGCTTATAGAGAGTCAACAGTATTAGAAACTGTAAGAAAATCACGGCGCCCCACGTTTTTCATCGCTTATAGTAGAGTGATCGCTTGCATTATTGTGATGTATAGCATTTATTTTCTACTTTTTAGTTCAATCAGAAAACGTGGGTTTTTTAAAACTTTTTAAATGATAATTATTTTCTACTTTTTAGTCTTTGTCTGTTTGTTTGCATTAAAATCTTGCTATCGATTTTATCTTTTCGCATTCACGTTTTTTTTTTTGGGTAAACGAAGACAACTCGTAAAAAACACGTGCCTTGAACCCGTGTCGAGTGGGTTAGCAATCGTGTGCCCCACCACTCGACCATATCGTCTCCCCCACACTGGCCACCAGTTGATCCGGTTGTTTGTACACAAACACCACGTGAACACTACTCAGTAAGCCAAAAGAGGGAGAGTACCGAACCTTGTTTTCATCAAATTACAATTACTGGGCTATGTCCCTTTTCCCCCACGTTTTTTTTTTGTACAATTATATAGCGGTCTAAAATTATCAATAAAATGTTTCCATGGATCAATTTAGTAATAATAACAATTGAATATTCTGTTGTCATCGGAAACAAAGCTTCCCTGAAAATTTCAGCGCGCTAGCTAACTGGGAAATGCCCGAAATTTCGATCGCAAGATTTGATTGGAAAGACGCGAAAGCAAGTTAAAGAAAACGTGGTAAAAACGTACTATTTCTAACCAGATATTTGGTTTTTTTTTCGTATCGTTAGTCTAGAGATGATCGACCTTCCAGTCAAGCAAGAAACACAGAAAGCTATTGCCAGGATTATTATGATTATGGTGACTGGACGTCAGCTGATCAAAGGGAACATTACGCCATGGAAGGGCGAGGACAGTACCACAAATCCTACGATGACGACGATGATACCAGACATGAAGTAGACAGTCCGCCTCCTTATTCAGAGGATACCCCGCCCACCAGAGAACAAACTTACTCACATAATTATTCAGTAAACCCCAACAATTATCCACATGCCCACAACTACACATACGCTCCACCCACATACACACCCACAACTCAACCCACAACCCTAACGTACCCAACGAACGATAACTTGGAACAAAATCAACCGCAGCCCCCAGCCTATGTACAGAGTTACTGAGATAACCCGGCTATTGTTAACTTGCCGTATTGGAGAGATGATCCTACGCCACAAGGGGTGGCCCAATCCACATATGGTGCACATGCCCCTTGGCCACAAACGCCAGAGGTAAGTAGGTAAAATAATTATCTGTAAACATTTGAGAACAATTCGAACTCTATATTCATATTAAACCTCACAAAACAACGAAGTTAATTTTTTTTGCAAGTTTTAATTAAGTGCATAAATATAATAAACACGCACATCTGTATATATATATATATATATATATATATATACAATATAATACATATATATATATATATATATTTATATATATATATATATATATATATATATATATATATATATATATATATATATCCCTATATAGATTCATATATATATATATATATGTATTTATTGTAAATTTTTATTACATATATCATGCGTAGGCCTATATAGAATATATATATATATATATATATATATATATATATATATATATATATATATATTTATTTATTTATATATATATACAACATATATATATATATATATATATATATATATATATATATATATATATATATATATATATAAATATATATATACATATATACTCATATGTGTGTGTGTATGCGTATCTATGTAACTGTGTAAGTATATCAATGTGTATTATGACTGTAGGAACCGTACCAAGATGTTCCCACGTACAAGATCTGTAGCGTGCTTATCCTCATCTTCTGCTGTCTGCCCCTTGGTGTAGCAGGTCTGGTGTATTCATCTCGCGTAAGTTTTTATTCTTTTACTTATCATATCATCTTTTTTTCAATTCCGGCCCGAGACACATGGGGCAGATGAAGTAGAGTTCATCTACTTCAGATACCCCTACCATATGTAGGGATAGTGTGGTCAGCACTAAGCCCAGCCACCTGTTTTTCTGCCTAACGTGAGTCAGGTACCCATTAGAGCTGCGTGAACTCAGCGACATTTTACTGACTTGAACGCCTTTTAGATTTGATCATACAAAAACTAAAATCCTGTATCTTTCACATTCACATTGTATCTCTCATGATTCCTGCAACACAAATTTACGTTGCCTCCACAGGCTGAAAACTTGAAGGCCGAAAGAAAATACACTCAGGCCAAAATTGTTGCTAAAAAGGCGAAAACCACGAACATCGTTGGACTTGTGTTTGGTGTCTTCATCTGGGTGGTGAACGGTGTTTTTTTCTACTTCAAGTTTAAATACTTGCAACAAAGCTACTGACACCTTTATCACCTTTGGTCGTAGTAAATGGCTGGTTACACACAGTCCACTAAACTAGTAACAGTGATGTTTAGTCTAGCAATAATATGTTTAGACACTTATGCTTTATGTATAAATATGTATAACAGTGGCGTCGCTAGGTCGGGTGTCACCCGGTGCGGCACTTCTTGGTGTCACCCCCCCCCCCACCCCCACACACACACAAGAAACAAAGTATATATATGTGTGTGTGTGTGTGTGTGTGTGTGTGTGTGTGTGTGTGTGTGTGTGTGTGTGTGTGTGTGTGTGTGTGTGTGTGTGTGTGTGTGTGTGTGTGTGTGTGTGTGTGTGTGTGTGTGTGTGTGTGTGTGTGTGTGTGTGTGTGTGTGTGTGTGTGTGTGTGTGTGTGTGTGTGTGTGTGTGTGTGTGTGTGTGTGTGTGTGTGTGTGTGTGTGTGTGTGTGTGTGTGTGTGTGTGTGTGTGTGTGTGTGTGTGTGTGTGTGTGTGTGTGTGTGTGTGTGTGTGTGTGTGTGTGTGTGTGTGTGTGTGTGTGTGTGTGTGTGTGTGTGTGTGTGTGTGTGTGTGTGTGTGTGTGTGTGTGTGTGTGTGTGTGTGTGTGTGTGTGTGTGTGTGTGTGTGTGTGTGTGTGTGTGTGTGTGTGTGTGTGTGTGTGTGTGTGTGTGTGTGTGTGTGTGTGTGTGTGTGTGTGTGTGTGTGTGTGTGTGTGTGTGTGTGTGTGTGTGTGTGTGTGTGTGTGTGTGTGTGTGTGTGTGTGTGTGTGTGTGTGTGTGTGTGTGTGTGTGTGTGTGTGTGTGTGTGTGTGTGTGTGTGTGTGTGTGTGTGTGTGTGTGTGTGTGTGTGTGTGTGTGTGTGTGTGTGTGTGTGTGTGTGTGTGTGTGTGTGTGTGTGTGTGTGTGTGTGTGTGTGTGTGTGTGTGTGTGTGTGTGTGTGTGTGTGTGTGTGTGTGTGTGTGTGTGTGTGTGTGTGTGTGTGTGTGTGTGTGTGTGTGTGTGTGTGTGTGTGTGTGTGTGTGTGTGTGTGTGTGTGTGTGTGTGTGTGTGTGTGTGTGTGTGTGTGTGTGTGTGTGTGTGTGTGTGTGTGTGTGTGTGTGTGTGTGTGTGTGTGGTGTGTGTGTGTGTGTGTGTGTGTGTGTGTGTGTGTGTGTGTGTGTGTGTGTGTGTGTGTGTGTGTGTGTGTGTGTGTGTGTGTGTGTGTGTGTGTGTGTGTGTGTGTGTGTGTGTGTGTGTGTGTGTGTGTGTGTGTGTGTGTGTGTGTGTGTGTGTGTGTGTGTGTGTGTGTGTGTGTGTGTGTGTGTGTGTGTGTGTGTGTGTGTGTGTGTGTGTGTGTGTGTGTGTGTGTGTGTGTGTGTGTGTGTGTGTGTGTGTGTGTGTGTGTGTGTGTGTGTGTGTGTGTGTGTGTGTGTGTGTGTGTGTGTGGTGTGTGTGTGTGTGTGTGTGTGTGTGTGTGTGTGTGTGTGTGTGTGTGTGTGTGTGTGTGTGTGTGTGTGTGTGTGTGTGTGTGTGTGTGTGTGTGTGTGTGTGTGTGTGTGTGTGTGTGTGTGTGTGTGTGTGTGTGTGTGTGTGTGTGTGTGTGTGTGTGTGTGTGTGTGTGTGTGTGTGTGTGTGTGTGTGTGTGTGTGTGTGTGTGTGTGTGTGTGTGTGTGTGTGTGTGTGTGTGTGTGTGTGTGTGTGTGTGTGTGTGTGTGTGTGTGTGTGTGTGTGTGTGTGTGTGTGTGTGTGTGTGTGTGTGTGTGTGTGTGTGTGTGTGTGTGTGTGTGTGTGTGTGTGTGTCTCTCTCGTCCTACCGTACATGTATGTGTATATGCTTTTTTGCCTTGGTGTCACCCCCCTAAATGGTGTCACCCGGTGCGGTCCGCACCCCCTGCTCTAACTACGCCTCTGTGTATAAATATATATCTAATGCCTTTTCAAGTCTCAATACAGTTTTCTATTTATCAGTCGGATAATTTTGTAATTTCAAACATAGACCCCTAATTTGTAGAACAAAATGCTTTGGCTATATGAAAGTAATATTTTCTAATGAAGAATAAAGAGAAAAAAAAGAAAATTTATAACTCTAGAAAAGTGAACATATTTCTTAAACCTGGATCACAATAAATTATTTTCTGTTGATATGAATATGTTTGTCTTTTAATTGCCTTTCAAAATATATGGTCAAATGTGAAAGTAAAAAAATACCCCACAATACAATTTACTTCCAATGTAATCCTTTATTTTAAA